CCCCAAAACCCCAAAACCCCAAAACCCCAAAACCCCTAAACTTTATCGAAATATTGAATTAATGTTTCCATCCCTTCTCATGTCCATCCTTCATCTGTGGCTCGAGTAAACCTCTGAAAGTCGGGGTGTCTGTCCATCTGATTCCATAGCACTCCTGGACTCTCATTTCAAGGATGTATTCCTTATGCGGTAACACATGCATATTTATCCAGACACAGTCATCGAGGATCTACAGTAGGTTAACAGCTTTAAATTTAGAATCTTATGCGAAATCTTACCATTAGTGCCTTCTCATTAGCTCTCTCATTCTTGGCACTCTCCTTACCAGTGATTGATCCCCAATATCCTTCTTTTCCTCTATGCCCATGCTTAGAGAGAGCCTTGGCTCCTACTGTAAGGATGGATGGCTTCTTTATCTTCTTAGATTTCGACTTTTCAGGTGGAGTATTTAATGCATTAAATGAATCAAGTAAGGAACCCCTACTTGGAAGAGCTAATAGATAATGGTGCAATTCTTACTCAAATGGTCTTGAGATCCAGTTGTTGTTCGAAGGCCAAGCATTGTCCACATACCTCTGGGCTTTATCTCAATTAGCCAGTCTTCAACCATCTTGGTCAAAGATTCTTCATCTTTCTCCTTAATGTCTTTGTAGATTTCCAGCAGTCCTTCTGTCCTTGTGTTCACTAAATGTAAGTTAAAATTTAGTACTGATATCATTCTGATTCTCTTCAGAAAATCCTTCTAATTTCCAAAACTTGATTGGGAATTTGGCTTGCTCTTTCCACATCTGCATTATGAGCGAAAGCTGCTTGATAAAGCTATGTATGAGATTGACTTATTACTTCCTGCTGAAATATCCTTTGAAATACCATTCCTGAGTCTTTTCCTCTTCTCTTGTAACAATTAAGGACCAATCTTACTCTGACTCCAAAAGAGCAAGGTTTGGATGATTAGGGTGCTCTATTGAGTTGTAAATCATCTCACAGACTTCCTTTGAATACCCATTTTCAACCAGATTGTCTACAAATGATATCAAAAGTTACCTGGATTCGAGAATATTTGCAGTAACGACCTATAGTAATCATTTAACCTTGTTTACTTCTCAATTGTAGCTATATCCTCATCTTCAGCATACTTCTGTAGCTCTTCGTGTAGTTCAACTTCGACATGTTTGACTTCTTCAGTAAGTGCCTCATGAGTTTGTTCCATTTTATTTATCCACTAAAATTAATTATTAATATATACCAGGGGTTTTGGGGTTTTGGGGTTTTGGGG